AGAGAAGAGAAGAGAAGAGAAGAGAAGAGAAAAGAAAAGAAAAAAAGAAGGAAAAGAAAGTAACTATGAATTGAAAAAGAATGGAAAATCTATAAAGGTAATGGAAACAAAAGCAGATGAAAAGGCAAAAATCAATGACACATTCTTTGATATCTTGCCATAACTAAATTATCATTCTTTCCACTTATGATTCAGTTTACAGTGATTGTTCTGCACTTCTCGCTTCTGGCTGCACTACAGATGGAATCTATAAAATCAATCCTGACGGACGCTTCTTCCAAGTCTACTGTGACATGACCACCGATGGCGGAGGGTGGACTGTGTTCCAAAAGCGCAACGACGGCTCGGTAAATTTCTATCGCGGTTGGCAAGACTACAAAACCGGTTTTGGTAGCCTGACTGGTGAGTTTTGGTTGGGCCTTCACAAGATTCACCGACTGACCAAGAGACAAGTCACAAAATTACGTGTTGATCTTGTGGACTTGATGAACCACACGAGTTATGCCGAGTATTCATCGTTCTCTGTCGCTGACGGGAGTGAACTTTATCGCTTGAATGTAAGTGGATATTCTGGTACTGCTGGTGATGCTCTCCATTCCAATAATGAGAGGTTTAGCACATTTGACAAAGATAACGATGGATGGTCTACTGATAGTTGCGCAGCCGAACGAAAAGGTGGTTGGTGGTATGAATGGTGTAGCGTTTCAGATCTAAATGGAATGGCGGAAACCTTCTGGACCTATAAACAGGCTTTTAAAAACACCGAGATGAAACTGAAATAGAGTATGACGGAATAGAAAAGTTTGACTTCACATTAGCCGAACCTAATGACATCAAAGAGGACCGCCTTATTATTCATTGTCATTCAATGCGTACGGCTCATGTAAAGTGCGACGTTTGACTTGAGGCTAGGTATACACTTCTAAGAAACTACAATTTTTGCGTGATCTTTATATTCGCGCTTTCCTGTCAAAATAATAATGTGCCAATTCTATTCGAAAGAGACCAGTTTCGAATCGCAAATTACCGCTGTGTTTCTTGATTACAGACTCATTTGCACAGGGTTAGCCTCGAATCAGTGTCTAAATATTCACGTATACCAATGGTAAGGTAAAGAATGCACAACTTCAACAATACACTTTGAAGCTCGACGGACCTGGAATGGAACACGTGAATATTCTACACAAAATCGAGGCTAACCCTATGTAAATGAGTCTGTAATGGAGAAACACTGCGGTAATTTGGAACTCGAAAGTGGTCTATTAGGTGCTTCTTTTCCCCAACCAAGTTGCTGTCATACTTTCCCTTGTGATGTCATTTTGCTCTTTATATTTACTTTGAGTTTAAGTAAAAAAATTTCGTTTTCGTTTTCGAGATCTTGAATTTGATCTGTTTGTCATATGAACAAAATCATCCAGAAGAACGTGTACAGAAAAAAATGCACAGAGGCAATGGCCAAGAGCGTCTTTAAGTCGATACATTCGGCTCAGATTTTATTTAATTACTTACTGTATTGTTGACCCATATGTCTCGACTTGAAACGAAAGGAAATGCAGTGGTACGCTAATATCTGCTATTGTTGCACTGACAGAAAGCATAGGGGATTTTAACACGTTTCATATCGACAGTGTATATTAATTAATACAGCAGGGCACCGATAGTACGAAGGGTGGATAGCGCTATCCAACGGATAAATCCTTATCCAGTGGATAAATCGAGTCCTGTGGCAAAGGGTTTAAGAAGGAGACAGGGCAACGCAAGGCGCAACGCAAGTGGCAACGTAATGCACATCGAAAGGCGCAACGTAAAGCCTTGTTCACACTACCGTCGTAATCATAATCGTAATCGCATTCGTAAGGAGCGTTAAAACCTAGTGGCAATCAAAAATCGTAGTCTTAAGAGTCGTCGTAAGGTGCATCGTAACGGCGTCGTAATCGTAAGCTTAGATCAGAAGGTTTTGTTTCCTTACGATTACGATTACGCTCACTTGACGATCGAATGTGGACCAAGAAATCGTAGTCGTAAGGATTGACCAACTACCACACTCGTTGCCATGATGAAAATTTCGAAGCTGGCTGGAAAATAACAAGGAAGCGAGGCTTACGATTCGGCTTGCGTCGCATTCAATTATACTAGATCGTAAGCGTACGATTACGACTACGATTACGATTGACGATGCTTACGACGCTAGTGTGAACAAGGCTTAAGTCACAACGTAAGGCGCAACGAAAGGCGCAACGTAAAACGCAACGTAAGGCGCAACGAAAGGCGCAACGTAAGGCGCAACGAAAGGCGCAACGTAAGGCGCAACGAAAGGCGCAACGTAAAACGCAACGTAAGGCGCAACGAAAGGCGCAACGTAAGGCGCAACGTAAGGCGCAACGAAAGGCGCAACGTAAGGCGCAACGTAAGGCGCAACGTAAGGCGCAACGAAAGGCGCAACGAAAGGCGCAACGAAAGGCGCAACGAAAGGCGCAACGAAAGGCGCAACGTCAGACAAAAGCATGGCGGTCATTGTGTTGCCCTTAACAATGGATGCTAATATGAAATCTTTTGTTAAATGGCACCGACGCTCCCCCGAGAGAAATGGAGTTCCAAGGCCTCATGGAATYAGGGCATTTTTTATGACTTTCATTTTCTCATGAATTTCATATCCAAAATGATTTTCACTGAACATTAGTCGCTCTGTCACTATCTTTCGAAACTAAGCAGCTTATTTTCACTTTGCCTTAAGGGTCTTAGAGACTTGGAATCTTTTCTAGGTAACCCTGCCACCAGGGTCTTATTTTTTGTAAGCGTACACTTTAGGGATATAAACTCAACAACGCCTTGCATTACTAAGCCTGATTTTCCCGTCCTAAGATAGGCGGTTTCTGGGCGTGAAACATCAGGAAACCGCAATAGCTGTCTACTAGAGCTTAGGTCAAACGTCGAACTTCAAGAGCCGGACCTAATGACATCAAAGTAGATTGCCTTGTTTTCCATGGTTTCAATTAGGTTCGGCTCACGTGAAGTTCGACGTTTGACTAACAATTCCACTTAAAACTAGGTTTGTATTTTGAGTTCGAATTCGAGCGGGGAATGGTGCCCGTTTCAAGCTCAGTCGCGCACAGCGTAGCAAGAATTTCTGATCGTGTTTAAATATATTACCCATGATTTACAACACCTTTCAATCAGAAATGATGCAAAATTATGGAAAATTTATTTTGTAAGACTTATTCTTCACAGCCAAAGTGTATATTCTCTAATAATCATACTACAAATTGTTTATCGTTTTAAGGAATGATGGCAGAATAAAACCATGTGCAATTTGTTACCAGGTTGATGGTTCTTTACTTGCAATTTTACTGGTTATTATGGGAGCACGTGCTGATTTGAGATCTAAAAACTCTCGGAAGTCTTGGTGACAAAGGACTTGCCATCCCATTTGGTCTTGTACTGCTCTGGTAACGCATACTCCGTCTGAAATAATTTTACCACAGTTATATAAAGCTTGAAGGAAGGTTGAAACCAGTGGGAGTATTCATTACGTTTCAATGCCCTCCCATTACCCATTGTTGAAATTAGGGTCTCAAGCATTGTGTYGTGGGTGTCAATCAATATTTGGAAAGCCCTTGTCAACACAAGTGAAGTGAAGTCCTGGGACGCTTCCAAATTGTGAAAATGCAAATTTTTCTATAATTATTATTATTATTACTATAGCACCTCAGAAACGTGAGGTGAACGAATAAGATAAATGGGGATCTAGATGTGGCATCTCTACACAGTAGCTTTTCGTCAGCTGAAATTATGACGTTAACAAATGACGTTATTTAGCAAAAGTATGACATCATTTCGTGTACTTACGAAATCGCCATCGCTTTTTGGAATAAGAATATTCATTTCAGAGGACTTGGCGGAGATGATGTCACATGTCAAGGATTCCTTGCTCAGGTAGACTTGACAGCCATCGGTCTTGTCGATAGAGATGGTGGGGACTGCACCGTTAACCTAACACGACCACCAATAAGTGAACAGAAGTTGTCAATCATAATAGGGCTCAGATATAAACTTTGGGGAAACCAATAGACCCCTTGCATGCGACGTCAAAGCAGCTCAATTTGGAGGACAAAACAAAGGAATTTCAATGTCATGTGAGTTGGAAACCTATTGTTTTGTCCTCTAAATTGAGCTGCATTCCGACATGCTGCAAGTGGTCTATATGAGGTTTGCATGATGGCGTCATTAGACTCCATTACAAGATGCTTCTCGAATTTTCTTTCGTATTTAAATTTGTATTCCCTCATGAGAATGGTAAGACAATTGGTGATAATTAAATGAACAAAAGAAAGTGTGCAAGGGAGTCTGGTAGTAGAGGTCAATGACGCCATCTCATGCAAACGTCCTATTTAATGAACCCCGAAACAATGTCTTGGCTTATGTTTGTGCACGACTAACTCACAAATTCAGACGTTAGTTTCTGAGGAAGGAGGATAATCGGAAACAGTGAAGAAAGACCATCGAATCAAAAAAGAGACCCATTGAGCTCTACTATTATGATACTGAGGTCGAACCAAAGAGCCCAGGCGTCCCTGCTACGCCTCTCTTGATTTCCAGAGCCTGATCCCACTTTTAACAAGATTTGAGCATTAACGCATGCTGTTTCGTGTGCTGTTCAAAACAAGGGTAAAGTAGCTATATTTATCAGTAGTTCCTTCAGTTGAAATGCAACTGCTATCAATGGAAGCCGATGGTGCGCACTTTACCCCCTCTCTCCATCAGTGCTCTGTTTTTAGAGTATTCAAAGTCGAAGCTACACAGAGAGAAGTTGTAACAGATTTGGAGATCCCGGCTGAGGCTCGAATCGTGAACTTCTAACTCCAAAGGCCGCGCACAAACCAACTGAGCTACGCCTGATCAAAAACCTTTTAAACATAAATTTCATTGAACATTTTTGTTGTGTGCTTATATCACAGATTAAAAACAGTCTCAACCGCGACAACAAACATGAAAAAAGTCTGTTAACTTTCTGAGCGGTCACCTCTAGAGTTCTATAAAGGCGGTCCTAGATGTTTCTTCAAAAACAGAAGACTGCTTAATGTTTTTTTTTTGAGGCGCTGTTATAAAGTTTTCTCAATTCCCTTACCTGACATTGGACGCTTTGACAGTTAATAAACTCGCAAGTGGCAACTACATTATCAAACACCACAGCGCACTTCTTGCAGCCGTCTGGAAAAAGAATCAATGGTAAAATACAGAAGATTAGTACAAGACCCATGAAATTCTATCAGCTGAATAGAATACTCTGTGCCGGGTCAATAAACATGACGGGCAGTGTTTGCCTGTCATTGTAGGCTGGTAATGAGATTCATTCAGCTGATTGATTCCAAGCAATAGAATACTCTCTGGTTGATAGCACATGACGGGCAGTGTTTGCCTGTCATTGTAGGCTGGTAATGAGATTCATGAGATTCAGTCATCTGATTGATACCAAGCAATAGAATACTCTCTGGTTGATAGCACATGACGGGCAGTGTTTGCCTGTCATTGTAGGCTGGTAATGAGATTCATGAGATTCATTCAGCTGATTGATAGCAAGAAATAGAATACTCTCTGGTTGATAGCACATGACGGGCAGTGTTTGCCTGTCATTGTAGGCTGGTAATGAGATTCACGAGATTCATTCAGCTGATTGATACCAAGCAATAGAATACTCTCTGGTTGATAGCACACGACGGGCAGTGTTTGCGTGGCATACTAACCAAGTGTTATTGAGTTAACTTTGCCCTTCACTTGCAGTGTGCTGTTCTTGCACATGTACACATACACAGTCTGTTGCATCTCTCCATCAATCACTAGTGAGCGGTTTTSTTCTTGATAATCCTGGGTAAAAAACAACAAAGATAACTTGTTAGGAAACCTGTTCGTCAAATATACAAACATTTGATAGRAAACCTTCTCAATTGATAAATAAAATACTTAATTACCTCGAACGTCGGCTATAAGCCTGTACATCCCTTGGGCCTGCAGCCCTCGGGATGTATATGGCTCATTGYCTCCGTTCTCGGACATAAATTTTCACCAACAAGAAYCATGTAATAGCCCTATTTCACTATGAAGTCACTGCTTGTTTATGTGGGGGATAGAATCGCCAAATCCAATAGAAAATTCAACAAAATTTGCTCCTAGCGAAACAGTTTAATCTAAAATGGTCTGGTTTTCAGATATAATATGTGTTAATATGTACTAAAAAATATTCTGAGCGTTTGCTGGCTATTCTACTTCTCTTCGTGGATTGATACGGGTTTTAGAACAATCTTCGGTGAATTTGCGTTGATTTGACCCCGTCCGACGACCATGATCCCTTGCGTTTAAACAATAGATTGTTTTGATGTGACGTCATAGTGAAATAGATGTGACAACACATTCTTCAAGATCTATCCCAGCACACTTACCACCACCCATTTCTTCCCCTGTAGCTCAAAGACAGGTGGTCGTTTAGCTGCCACTGCTGGCTTTGCCTTGGAGGGAGCTGGTTTGGCTGCCGGCTTAGGCTTGTCTGGTACAGGAGCAGTCTTGCGCAAGGCTGGGTTCTTGTGGGTTTTCTGGTCATCAGAGACTTTTTTCAGACCTGCGCATCATCAACAGACATASACAAAATATTATTTCATATAATATAGTCACGTAATCCACTGAGAGTCACGTAATCCACTGTTTTCCTATTTCAGACCGCGTCATTCCCTTGAGTATTATTTCTTTGTTTAATGGTTGCACATGAGAAGGCAAATGAGTAATGGTTATTTTTTGAATTTTGCCTGTTTCAAGGATTCTTTCCCCCACCAGTAAGAAAAAGAATCCTTTAATCCTTAATCGGTCTAAATTGAAAAAATAACCACACAGAGCGAAAGAAGTGCTATTTCTCAATGATCGGGTAAAATTTCGAGGCTTTATTTCACGTTTCAATGATTTTATCGAAATTTTATAGCCATTTCTTATATTTTTRGTACACATTTTTGACAAGACTCCATTGTTTAAAGGGGTAGGGCAATCCCCCAATGGCCTTGTTACATCCCCATGTGACACCTATAACACGATACCAACTATATCTTAGTGGTAAGAAAGATACGTTTTTTAAGGTCCGACAGAAGGGGGAGAGAGGCAAGCTTCAGAGGGCACTAAGTTCATCAGTAAAAATGTTAACTTTTTTGGAGAGTCAAACCTGTTTATTTTGACAAAACGTTTTCCTTGTTGACTTAAAAGGAGAGTCATGTATTTCTTAGCAAATGGAACTGGGGGAGGTTTACAATCATTTAAAAAACATTTACTAGGAATCCGACAGCCCCCCCTTCCCCCCCTTCAAATAAAAAATGTAACTTCCCTTACGCTTTTGCATATCAATAACAATGAGCAATCACTAAGAACTAGTTGGTGGAATAACTTACATGGGGGCTATAGAGGKTTTGCACAATCACGTGCTCACGCCCATAATACAGCTTGGACTGCCTGTGGTTAGAYRGCAGAACAAATTCCCTTTGCATTTGGAAATTGAATTCTTTTTCATGTAAAACGATTGTATTGTTCCTGCCATYTAACATRGCTGCYGTCACRTGGTGGTGMAAAACCTCTATTGATTGCCTGTTAACTTACAAGAGGGACACACCCAAGAATGCTTTAATTTACAAATAATAGTCCACAAACCTGCAGCAATGTTGGTTCCAGCCTTGTTAATTTCRCCAAACAGAGCATTTGCTGCAGCAGTATTTGCTTGAGTAGCTGTTGGTGCAGCAGTGGGGGGTGCGACAGCAGGGGGTGGTGGGGGTGGAGGTGCTCCTCCCGATGCAGGTGCTGATGGGGCTGACGATGGTGCTKGAGGACCCTGTAAAGCAAAACAAGTCATTGGTGGGCTGGGCAGGGGGTCGAGCTYCAAGCCTCAATCCAACCACAGTGGGAGATTCAAACCGTTGGTGCCCGACCCCCCTTCCTAGCTCGAAATTAGTTGGTTAGTATAAACATTAAATATTGTTAATAAGTATATGTAATAGAACTCCATGCTGTCCAATTAAGAAATAATTGGACGAGGAAAATTCTGAGGACTTCCAAAATTGGATGAGGCTGTAGGCCGAGTCCAATTTGGCAGTCAGAGGAATTTTTTGAGTCTAATTACTTCTTGATTGGGGAGCATAAAATCCCATTACCTATTAATTATATAGCTTCCTAATTAATCCCATATCAACAAGACCTGTCCAATTAAGAAAATAATTGGACAGTTACCTATATGGGATCAATGAGAAGCTGTATAATTATATTATTTATTGCTAGAAAGGAAATTTCTAATTATTTAGTGACCCCCATGGTTTTCATTGAGGGTCATGGATCAGAGAATGCTCTGGTAAGGCAACTGTGCAAAACAGCTTATCATAATCTTAGGCTCCCCAAGTATTGAGAATTGAGAATATGACTATATCAAGGAAGATGGTGGCCAATTTWTAAACTCCAATATCTTTYGAAGGAAGAAAACAAGGCAAAAAAAGTGAGAAATTTGATCGYAGTGGTACTTTCAGRCATATTTTTCAAGAGCMCATKCACATACTTCTCATTTCTTTCCGAGGAGCAAAAAAAGTTGCAAGTTGTTGAGATTGCACRGCAGTGAAACACGTCACCTGGACAGTGTAACATGACTTTTTTTGAAATAGTGTGAAATATCGCACAGGCTAATGCCTCGTGCCTTACTCATTATTGCCTGATCTAAAGGTTAATTATGTCATAATCTCAGCTGCAAGGATTCAAAATTACAAACAGAAAAGATAGCCAAAATACTTCTCCTGTCAATTTTTTTAAACACACAAAAATATTAAAATGGGTGAAAAGTAAAAGATTGGTCATTTAGCATACTTCCATCTATTGAGTTTTGGGTGCATACCAGAGGTTGCAGAGCATAAAGGAAGCATAAGAGTTGCACAAGACATACAGTATCCAACTTTTATGCTTTTTTCTTGCTTAACAACCTCCTGCGTGCCGCCAAAACTCAAAGGAGCATGCTAATCAGTGATCAGTATTTTGTTTTCAGTTTATTTTAATATCTGTGCGATTACAACATAGCAAAACTGTAAAAATATCTTTGTTAATCAAACAAATTCATATTTTTCTTAGGTCCCATCCACACTATGCCGGATAAATTTGAATCCGCAACTTTCACACCAAAACTGAAAAAAAAGTTTTCCATCCACACATGAAAACGGATAAAATGTTTCGCATCCACACTAGTCCGATCAGAGGCGGCAAAAACGCTTCATTGCACATCTGAGCAAGTGCATCCAAGCTGAAATTGAGCCTGCAGTGAATTTTTAGCCTTCCCGCCATGTTTCCATGACAATCATGACGTCATCGCATTTGACAAATTTCGGGTACGAAATGTTCTCCGTCCACACTAATATGGCTAGCTGGTGTTTTCAAATTGTTCCACTCTGGAGACCGTATTCAAAAAAATTCGTTTTCGGTGAAGAATTGTTCTGGATTCGTCCGGAGCAGTGTGGACGGTAGTCCTAACAGAATAAATGAAAATTCAAATTCAAATTTATCCAGCATAGTGTGGACGGGGCCTTTACTACATAGTGTGAACTACTTAATCAGGTCAACATGCACCATCGATTTTTGAAGGCATGCTCATGCAGGCTAATTAACCAATCATAGTGCACATTTTATCGTGGCTTCGTATTGAATATTTTAATGATAACCATGCCAGGTGATCTCGTTTTGACAGCCCATCAAAAACCAGCCAATCATTGCGCAGGAAGAAAACTGATCGGGCGGTCTATCTAAATAAACATGGCGACAAAGTCAGAAAAAAATTATTATGAATCTTTGCTTCCCTTGCTATGTTATGGACTAGCAATACATTTAAAATGGTACCTTTAAAATTCTACCTATTCTTATGAGGATTACCTATGGGTCAAATGGTACATTGTGGTTTCAATTCTTTTATGAAATTATCGTAAAATGATAGCTCTTTGTTCGCCAATAAACAACTGAAACTAGGAATGCCTGATCAACTAAAACAATCCTTTGCGCGCGTTCCCTAGGATCTCCTGGTGTGGGCATTGTTTGTGCACATCAGTGACCTGATTTTTACTGATGGATTACTTGGTTTCTTTTGTAATATCAACGGAAAAGATAACCAAGGACTTGTTTCTGTATTTCATTCTCTTTGGAACAATACCAAAATGCCAACAAGTATATCTCATATCGAGTTTTTTTCTATATGCTAGTGTTGAAGTTGGAGTAGAGAAAGCTCACTCTATATGTGGTATGATCAATTCCATATTTGGATTGTGCGGAAAAGTGGCAAACAAAAAGACAGTCCTTTTATAACAAATTCAGTCGACATGAACATTTTTGAACAAAAGATAAGTAAAAAAAGAAAAACTTTGAAAAATCGAGGAAGAATACAGGGACGACACTAACTCATGGGTCTGCCTCGCAGACAACAGACACAGAGAAATACAACACTCAAAATTTGATACGTATACTAGAAAATATTTATAGGACCACTGATTGACTGATTGGGATGGATTGTTGCAGTAGAATGGAATCGATGGGACTGAATACAATGGATAATGTGGGATGAATAGGATGGGTGGGATTTGAATGGGATGGGACAAGAAATGATAGGGTTGGTTTAAATAGAATGTCAAATGATTTGAATTTGAACTGAATTGAATTGATGGTTGATTTGATYGTATTCTGATTTTAAAGGCATGAAACAAAGTATTTGATAAACYTTTTGTTAGAACAGCCACGTCATTCCCTAAAAAATAAGATTCTTTGTTTGAAAGGYATCCATATTCGTGGTTCTTCTCATACTCAACCAATAAACAAAGAAATAATACTCTAGGGAAWGACATATGGTCTGCAATGAGAAAACATTGCTTCACCACATAACCTATGGATCATTGTATTACTCACATCAGGATTCCAGGACAGACCAGACGGATGATGTTCTTTGACGTATGTTATAAGATCTTCGTACAKGCTTTTAATACATCGTGCCCACTCTACGTGCTTGGGATTACTAGAATTACAATGAACAAAAATATCATTATTATGGCAGGTACATGCACACTACTACTGTTTCGYTACATGAAAAAACAATGGTACCATACATATAGCGCACTTTACATAATTACTGTTAGGTAAGGTCAGAGTATTAAATCATATTCATTTAGTCACAAGTTACATAGGCTACTGCATAAGTTTAATTTTTTCTGTAAATTTGTCAATTTGGCTCCACTACCCAAAGTTGAATGTATTGGTTTTATTCTACATTTTGACTTATTAGCTGACTTATAAAATGAGGCTTACCCCATGCAAATGATTCTGCAGTTTGGTATGCATCAAATACAAAACTGGTTTATTAGGTAGTTAAAGGTAATGTTGAAAGGTGATGTTTAAGGTGGCGGCAGGTTTTCAGTAGCTTCATAGTGTACTGTTGGCCCACAACCTACAGACACTGATTTGGAGGTCATATACTTTACTATTACATGTACTACAGGGAACTTTGAAACTTCAGTATAGTAAAATTTACTATTACTATTAAATGTTACTAATATCATTACCTTTCTTTAAAGTCTTTGATAACACGGTTAATGTAGAACTCAGCTGAATTAATTGTTTCCTTAATGAAAGTTCCACCTTTGACCTATGGTATAGAAAGCATATACAACAATTATTAAAGGATTAATGGATCAYGTTGAGCATGATATTGTACATTATCAAGACCAAGGCTATGTTATCTGCCAAAGCTGCAGGCTAAGGCAGATAAAACAGCCYGGGGGAGGGGGATACTCTTGCCTGTTTAGGGTAGGGATGTGCTGCTGAGCCCACTGAACCCTGACCCTGTTCCAGAGTAAAATCGCTGAAATTCATACCCTGTTCTAGAGCAAGGTTGCTGAAAATCATACCCCATTCCGGTATTGCGAAAATGGATACCCTGTTCCAGAGAACAGAGAGCATGATTTCATATACCCTGTCCCAGAGCGAGCGCAATTTTATGTACCCTACATTCCAGAGTAGAATCGCTGAAAACCATACCCTGTTTGGCGGCACGTACCCGTATAGCGAATATACCCCAGGGAAAGCAGCAGAGGTCTTGCTAATTTATGATGTACATGTATCATGTAAAAACCAGATTTAATAATTGTTTTAATATACATTTTGTAAAATATGGATAAGACTCCACATTCCGCTTTCGAAAAAATAAAATAAAATACGTTGTTTCGATCTCTGTTCAGTGACCTGGAGTAAACTTGACATGACAAAAGTATTATCTGCAGAAAAACCTATTTCTTGTCCATAAGTAGCATTTTGAAATCGTTTTTGCTCATTCATAGGTATCTGTTTTTGAAAAATTGAATTTTCAAGTGACAGATACAGGGCTAAGAAATTATCCATTGTAAATCAATTGAGGATTTCATTCCGCTTTCCAAAAAACAGCAAACATTATTTCAATCTCTGTGTGACAGATACAGGGCTAAGAAATTATTCATTGTGGATGTAAAACAATAATTGAGGATCGCTCCAGGGCTGTGATTGGCTGTGCGTGGTGGGCTCACTGAGTGATCTTTTAAGCTTTCACCTAGTTTGGAGCCTACTGTAGCTCTTTTTTGATTGTTCCACACTGTGGTACAACAGGCAAAGCTTAATTATATGTTTATATAATAGATTATTATTACTCACCACRGTGACCCATCCTAAGCAAGCAACTCCCTCTGACATAGCACTCAAGTGGTTGAACATCTTGCTTCCTCTATGTGACTCACGGTATTGCTGCAATCATGTGAATAATATATGTCAGTAACTGTTCTATAGTACATGTGACTCACGTTATTGCTGTAATCAATGTGAACAATGTATGTCAGTAACTGTTCTGTTATAGTACATGTGAGTCACAGTATTGCCGTAATCATATGAATAATGTATGTCAGTAACTGTTCTATAGTACATGTGCCTCA